ACCCCCTGCCAGATCCTGCACCGTTCACAGTGGGCAGGGCCTTTCTACACAGCCATTAACAAAGAAAATAACCTACAGGCTTTCCCACAGGCCAATCTGATGGAGGAATTGTCTCAATTAAGATCCCGCCTTTCCAGATACATCTAGGTTTGTGTCAAGATGACAAAACAAAATAAATAAATAAATAAAACCAATCAGGACACAAGGCATACAGAGCAGATAATTTAAAATCAATGACCTAGGGCTGGATGGGGGTGATACATGCTTATGATCGAAGCACTTGGGAGGCTGAGGCAGGAAAATTTCAGGTTCCAGGTCACCCCAAGCTACATGGTGAAACTTAGACACAAAGACTGAACAGCCCAGTGTCTCAATTTCCACCTCAAATAGTGGGAGAAAACACAGTAGGAATTCTAAGGAAGGAGGCAAGGCATTAACAAAAATAAGAACAAACAGCGGTGCAACGAAGGGCGGCTGTATGAGAACGAAGAACAGCAAAGCACAAGGCTAGGCTGCTGGGGAAGCCACGGGCTCCAGGGGGCTCTGTTTCTAAACGCCACAGGCTGCCACTGTCAGTCATCAAAAGACTACGACAGGCCTAGGAAGGTGACTCCTGCAATCGTGAGGTCCCAAGTGTGGTTCCCAGAACTCAAATTAAGAAATGCGGGGTGTGATGGTGGTGCACACGTGTAATTTTAGGATAGAGCAGTCAGAGACAGGGAAAGGCCCCTCACGGTGGCATGCTTGCTGGGCATGCAAGGTGTCGTGTTCGGTAGTTTGTTTCTCAGCACTGGATAGGGAGAGTAAAAAGAGAGAGGGGAGGTCTATTATGTATGCATGTGTACACATATGTATATGTATCCATTCATCCACTCATCCACACATCCACTAATCTGTCTTTCTGTTCATCTGTTTGTCTATCTATCTATCTATCTATCTATCTATCTATCTATCTATCTATCTATCTATCTATCTATCATCTATCTATCTATCATCTATCTATCTATCTATCTATCTATCTAGGAAAATACATTAATGCAAACCTCCAAATGATGCTATTCAATGTATTTAAGATGATATAAAAAGTGAATGCTCAGCCATAACAACATAAAAGAGAACACAGTCCAGCCCAGTATACAGAGTGAGCTGCAGGCCATCCAGGCTTAAACAAATAAATAAACTTTAGGAAATTTGAAAGGAAAAGAACTTACCAAGAGCAGGGTAAAACTCACAGGAGTGGAAAATCAAAAAGTGACTGAGAAAATAAGAAACAGTGTAATGGGTGCAAAGTATGAATCACAGAGACTTTCTGGAAGTGTGGCAGAGAACATGGAGGCCAGGGGAGAGAATAGTTCTTGAGTTTGAACATGGAAATTCTTTAGAACTAAAGGCACAACTTCCCAAACAAAATGGCCCCCCGGGGTCCAGTACAATGGATAAACCCTTGTGTTACTACACATTGGGGCGGAGAGGGCCCAGAGACTCTGGGACAGAGTGGGAAAGGGGTGAAGAGCTCACGCGCAGACATTTAGGACTCACACTTGTTTTGGATTTCACAATAGCAGCCCTGGGAAGCTTGGTGCCAGATGAACGATTTCAAAACGGTGAAAAGGCTGGGGAGACTGGGCAAAGGGCTTGGTAGACAAACCTGAGTTGGATTCCCAAGCACCCACATAAAAGCTGGGCACAACGGCATGTGACTGTAACCCCAGTCCTGGGGAAGTGGGGACAAGAGAGTCCCTGGTGTCACTGGCCAGCCAGCCTAGCTGAACTGGTGAGTTGCAGGTTCCTTGAGAGATGGTGTCTCATCAAACAAGGTGGAGAGTGATTGAGAAAGATACCTGACATTAATCTCTGGCTTCCACATGCATGTGCAACACACACACACACACACACACACATACACACACACACACACACACGCTCATCCACGCCCACATACTCACCCATACACCCACCCCACACACACACTCAGGAAAGGAAAAGAAAAACCTCCAGCCACACTGACCATTGCCTGGGCTGCACAATGAATTGTTCTGAAACCGAATGGTTTTAAAGAGCATGCATTTTCTCTTAGCTTCTGAGGGGCAGTAGTTGGGTGGCCTAGTGTGACTTCTGGTTCAGGGTCTCCCACAGATTGCACCCAAGACCATAGTCATCTCAGGGAATAGTTGAGGCCCGAGAATTTTCTGTGAGTGTATGTATATGGTGTGCACATGTGTGCACACACTGTGGAGGCCAGCGGTCACTCTCACATGTCATTCCTCAGCAAGCTGTATGCATCAGAATTGCAAACACGTGCCACCACATCAGGCTTGTTTCTTAAGTGGTCTTGGGATTGAACTCAGGTCCTTGTTATTGCTTGGGAAGCACGACCACCAGAGCCATCTTCCCGGGGCTGGCGAATTTGTTTCTAAGTCCACTCACACGGTGGTTGGGAGGACATTTCAGGTCCCAGTCATGGACTGTTCTTGATGTGGCTTTCCCCCGAGAGAGGAATCCACAGGATCAAAGAACCCATGACAGACTCTTATAATCTAATCTTAGAAGTGACATTCCACCCTTCTGCCACATGCTATTAGTCACAAGCCAGCAGCGGGGAGGGCATTGTGCAAGGACATGAGTCCCGGAAGGGAGGCCCCATGGGCCCATTGTTGAGACGTCTACACTGTACCAGCCATAGGCCTCAGCCAAGCACATTTTTAACCTGCAGGTTCAAGACTTTACCTCTCAAACACCTTTCCTTAGAAAGCTACTTGAAGAGAAGTTCCTCTCAAGCAAGGGAGGAGATCAAGACATAAAACCTAGACCAGGAGAGAGACTGAAGGATTCTTCGGGATTACGGACAAGAGAGAAAACGGGTTTGTGGCTGTGGGCCCAGCATAAAGGGCAGAATCCAGCCTGGTGTGCCAGAAGGTTCTAGAAGGGACTTAACCACACTGATAGAATTGGCAGGACATTTGACAGAAAGGGGGGAAATGCACAGACAGACACCTGACTGTTTGGATTGAACTAACAATGAATACATGGGGAAAAAATAAAAAAACCTCACTAACCGCTGGGGGGTGAGAATGTCCACAGCAGGAAAAGCCACCACAGCTTACCGCATAGTGAATGAACAGTCACACCACCGTGACCTGGACTACAATGCCTCTGATTACCCTGAAACTTTGCCGAGAGCTTGAGGAAGAATGGAGGGTTGGTGGGGGCCACAGGTGGCAGAGTTGGAGGAAGGATTCTCCCTGAGAGCACTTCCCTCCCAGGCTGGGGCTTTGAGTGCTTGGTCCCTAGCTTGTGGGGGTGTTTTGTGGACTGTTCCGGTGGCGGTGGGGCCCGGCTGGTGGATTCGGGTCTCTGGGAGCTGGCTGTTGAAGACTGTACCCTCTGTGGTCACTGTCCACATTCTCTCTGCTTTCTACTGTGTGAACCGGCCTTGCCTCATCTCCTACCCCCACAGGCCAGGCCACGCTGCATGTCTTCCCTGTTGTCACAGGCCAAAATCACAAGGCAAGATTAAATCTTCCTCCCTAAGCCGTTTCTGTCAGGCATTTGGGTCATAGCAATATAAAAGTAACAGACACACCGGAAAATGCCCGGGACAGAGACATCAGGAAGCAGAAAAACCAAACCAACCAACCAAACACAGTTTTGAGGGTGTTACAGATGTAGAGACAACTCAACACAAAAGAGTTAAAAAGAATTGGGTATGATGACCCAGGGAGGGACGTGGAGGACGTGGAGGAGACCTAGACATCACAATAAAGCTAGTTAGCCCTTTAGAACCAGGCAGAGCATCTAAACAGTGATCACTTGGCAGTTGTTGGCATGGGGGAGGGTGTGAGCCTGGCACGTCAGCAGAGGTCAGAGGGCCACCTGCAGGATCCAGCTTTCTTCAGCCACGTGGCTTCTCAGGATGGGAGTCAAGTCCTCAGACTTGGTGGTAGGTGCCTCCAGCCACCAAGTCCTCATATACCACATTTTAAAATATGAACTCCTTTGCTAGCAAGTAACTAGTCAGTTCAAAATTTCAGTGCTTTGTTTATTTGTTTGTTTGTTTATCTATCCCCGAGACAGGGTGTTTCTGTGTTACAGCTCTGACTGTCCTAGAACTCACTTTGTAAGTCAGGCTGGCCTCGAACTCACAGAGATCCACCTGCCTCGGTCTCCTAAATGCTGGGATTAAAGACGTGAGCCACCGCCGCCGTCTGGCTATAATTTCAATCTTTTTAATACATGAGTTCTTTTGTTTGTATTACAAATTAAGTCAGGAGTCAAACGAGGCTCCCTCCTCCCCCTACACCCTTTCCTGTTTCTTATCTGCCCGCCTGTAATCCCCGGAGACTTGGCTCTCTTCTTCCACTTTTGTGTGAGTTCTGGAATTGAATTTAGGTTGTCAGGCTTGGTAGCAAGTTCATCAGGCTTGGTAGCCAGCGCTTTACCTGCTGAATGGCTTCATCAGCCCCAATGCCTCCTTAAAACCTAGAAAGCTGTCTGTTCAAACATGATCAATGTGTCAGCAATGTGTCAGGGCCACCGAGGGATGCGCCGGGTTGACTTCCAGGCCCCTCAGGCACACCTTTGCTTGCTAGTGGCTCCCTCTCCATCATCACAGTCGTGTGATGTGTGTGTGTGTGTGTGTGTGTGTGTGTGTGTGTGTGTGTGTGTGTGTTTGAGGGTATCGTTTGAGGGTATCATCAGTTATCTTTTGTAGTTGCTCTCATTTTATATTCTAATTTAGGCTCCCCCACGGAACCCAGTGTGCCTCAGTTTAGCTAGACTGTCTGGATTGCAACAAGCCCTAGAATCCTGTCTCCACCCTCCCCCGTACTGGGATTCCAGGCTTTCACTGCTCAGTCTGGCTTTCCCACGCAGGATCTGGAGGATTGAACTCAGGTCCTCACGCTTGTGTGGCGAGCACTTTACTGATGGAGCCATCTCCCCAGCCTCCTCAGCGTCCTTTGACCTCACAGAGCTTCATTTGGAACCTTTCCGCTCTCTAGAGCACGTGCAAGAGTCATCGAGGACAGAAGAGTGGAGACCTCCTCATCTAGTCCTCCACTGAACAGAGTGCTGAGGGAAAAGGGTCTGCTCCAGAGCACTCAACAAGCCAGTCTCTATGTGGATCCCAAGCCCGGCTCACCTCTAGAGTTGATCTTTCTGGACCTTCTGCTCTGGGCAGTATGAGCTCTCTAAGACGTTAGCCCAAGGAGGTAAAGAGCACATCCCGTGGGTGGGTTCATGCTGCATCAGCAGAGTTCAGACTTGCAGCCTGCCCATCACTGCAGCCCCAGGACCCAATGCTCAGTGGCAAAGTCTTGGATTGGAAGCCCTTGGTATAGGAAGATTCTTGGCTCATCGGTCAGCTTCGTCACTGATGTCTGTTCCCTGATTTTCTGGGACAGCTCCCATGTGTGCAGGTCCCTACTCCTGGTCCCCAGGGCTTCTCAGAGAATCTTCTTTAACCCCTCTCCAATTTTGTTTTTAAGACAGGGTCCCTTGGTGGCCTGGAGCTTGCTGATTCTGTTAGATTAGCTGGCCAGTGAGCCCTAGGGCTCTGCCTGTCTCCACCCTCCAGCACTGTGGTTGTAGACAGGCCCTGTGATGCCTGGTTTTTAATGTGGGTGCTGGGGATCACTATCTAGACAGACGCACCTGGTGTGGGGACACAAGGATGTCAGCAGCCCCGGGGCTTGGAAAAGTTCCTTACAAAAGCCTGAATTAAAGAATTTTCCACTTATCTTACATGTCCACCCGGAGGCCTCTAGGCTGCATGAAGCCCCACACAAAATCTGAAACTTAAGACATTAAGAGTTGTTTTTTTTTTTTAAGATGGTGTGTGTATGCATGTGAATGCATACATGTATGTATGTGTAAAAAGCTGGACACAATGGTATATGTTTGTAATCCCAGTACTGGGGAGGTGGAGACAGGTGGACAAGCCATCCATCCATCCATCCATCCATCCATCCATCCATCCATCCATCCATCCATCCATCCATCCATCCATCCATATCTATCTATCTATCTATCTATCTATCTATCTATCTATCTATCTATCTATCTATCTATCTATCTATCAACCAACTCACAATGCACACTACCAAGGAGTTCACAATCCAATAGATAAAGCACACACTCATGCATGCACACACTTACACTCAGCATACATGTATAATCCCTTATGTGCATGTGTACAAGGCTCCCTGAGAGAAGCGTGTGCCCCACATCCTGGGATGTGGACCTAACTCCTGGTAGTAAGTACAGAAACTTCATCTTTCTGCCCTTCTGTCCCAGCCCCTCCTCTTCAGGTTGAGAATCTGTGCGATGGAAAGTGTTCCTTAAGTGCTCCGCCTGCTAAGGATGAACAAGCCTCTGATTGGAGGTGAGTGGTCTGATGGAGCCCTGCATTTATTTCTCAGTGTGAGGCTGGCTGTGGTCAGGGTGTGATCCCAGCCTGCCCTTCACCTGCTCTGCAGATTGGAAGGGGGATGCTGTGTCTCTGGGGTGCCGAAGGACACACTGAATAGCAGCTGCTTGTGGAAGGGGCTGGGCTCCTGAGTTAGGGGAGGATCATTACCCTAACACAGGGGGTGCGGGGCAAATGGATCAATCCTCTCTCCTCCAAGTACTCATCTGTGCAGGAGACCAGGAGGCCATTGCCACCTCCCAGCTGGCTTCTGCCTCTCCTCCAGTGAGAGGATGCCCTGAAGGCTCTGTGACTTCCTTCCCTCTGTCCAGTGCTGGACATTTCTCCATGTCTCCCTTTGTACCTTCCCCCACCTCCGTATCCTCTGTCCACCGGAAACACTACCAGAGACCAATGGTCAGCCCTGGAAACATATATACAAGTAACGTTACACAGATTGAGAGGGCTGTGTGAGGAATACATCTGGATATACATATGTGTACATATACACATAAGTATGTGAATGTAACAACAATCCGTGAAAAAAGAGACCACGAATTTGACTGTAAGAGAACAAGAAAAGGTGTAGTAGGTTGGAGGGAGGAATGGGAATGGGGAAATGATGTGATTGTGTTAATCTCAAAATATAATAAGCAAACAAATAAACACTACCATGGTGCTTTCTTGTTATGGAGGGAAAGATCTCTGCTTTTCAATCACCTCCCAAGTCAAGGAGGACCCTGGGGCGGTGGAGGTGGAGCTGGAGGCACATCGCTCAGTCAGCTGCATGGCATGCAGGATGTCCTGGCCATAGTGGTGCATGCCTGGAATCCCAGCCCTTGGGAGGTGGAAGCAGGCAGACAGAAGGTCAAGTCACTCTTGGCTACCTAACAAGTGTGGGGAGAGCCTAGACTACACGAGACCCTCTCTCAAAACCAAACCAAACAACCAACCAAAAAAAACCAACAAACCAGAAATGGTCAGGACGCAGGGCATACCCATGACATCTCAGGGAACCTGGAAGAGGTGAGCTGAGGGAAACCGAGTCAGCACATTAGTTGTGCTGTAGGGGAAGAACTCTCTTCTCCCGGCAGTTCTGAGTATCGGGTATCCAGAACACTTGGGTCCCCAGCAGCCTTCACAAATGAGGTCTCTGTTGCTAAAGCAGCTACCTTTGCCCAGAGTAAGGTTGTCTATCATTGCCAATTCTGCAGTAGCCATCAAGGAAAGCATATGGAAACAAAGGTTCAGAGAAGTTAAGTAATCAGCTCAAAGCCACACAGCATCCCTGTCTGCTTCATTTTCCACGACCAAACCCTCCCCAGCTCCCACTCAGCCTCCTCTTCTAGATGCTTCCCCATGGGAAACCCCATGGCCAGCCTCTTGGGCCCAGATGAGTGGTGCCTTGCACCACGATTCCCTCTGCCAGTTGGCCAGACAGTCCAGCTGAGAATTAGGTTATTAAGTCTTTGGGCAAACACAGGGCCAGGAGTCCAGCCTGCTCTTATTTCCTTCAGGTAAAATGCAGTCCTAGGAGTTCCAGTAAGTTCTGAGAGTTCCCGTCTCCCTGGAGAGTAAACAGGCACAGGTGACTGGGGGCAAGTCTCTTCCCCATGGCCACCGCCTCCTGCCTGTTCCTGCCCCAGCCTCGCCACAACTGCAGGGCTGCTCTTGGAGAGTGCTCTCTCCTGAGTCAAGCTGGTGGGAGGGCAAGAGAGCAAGACCTGCTCACTGGACTCACCGGCCAGCCAGCCTAGCAGAATCGGTGAGCTCCAGGCCGGTGAGGGACCCTGCTCCAGTGAGAGACCCTGCTCAGAAAACAAGGGGCAGTGCCACGAGTCTCCACACACACACACACACACACACACACACACACACACACACACACACACACACACACATGTATACAGGTACATGTACACTCTAGCACACATGTGCACCTATACACACATGTACATACCCTCATGCATATAGAAAGAGTCAGAGTCAGTTCTTTCCTGTGGGTCCCAGGGATTGAACCCACGTGGTCAGGCTTGGCAGCAAGCACCCTTTACTTGCTGAGCCATCAAGCTGGCCCAAGATACCATGTTTTCAGCTCTTGTGACCCAGGGTCTGTTCCAGAGACCTGCAGCATCCACACCTCCTGGGAACCCATTGCAAAGGTTCGACCTCGGCCGCATGCTCTGAATCTGTGTCTTCAGTTCAGTGAAGGTACAGTTCAGTGAACTGGTTTAAGTTGAAGTTAGAGAAACACTAATTGGAGCTAAAGTGTTTGGCTGGACCTAACTGAACTACCCTCAGTGTGATGGCCTGGAAGGTGCTGTCCCTTTGCCTTCTCTGTTGATTTTAGAGTGCCCTAGGGCAGCGGCTTCTGGATAATGAGAAAGCCTCCCTCCTCCTGATCTTGCAGTGTGTGTGTTGGGGTGAGGGCCCCAGCTCTGTGTGAAGACAGATGTGAAGACAGACGTGGGAGACTGGAAGCATCCAGCCTGGGTGTGACTCCAGTGTGAGTGTGTGAGGTGTGAGTTTGTGGAGAGCCCAGTCAAACTGAGCCCATGGGAGAGCTCACTCGTCTATGAGCACCCATGTGTAGGGAAATAGGAGGAAAATGAAGCTGGGCCTGTGGCCTATGGGAAACCCTGGTGAACTCCTACCAGCTCTACACTCTGAGTTGTGGGCCCGGGTCCTATGAGGGGGAGGTGTGGGACAAGGCCTGTGGTGAGGATGGAGGCCGTGAGACCAAGGAGCTGGGTCTCTAGGGTGAAGGTGTAGGATGGAGACAGAGCGCGTGTTCTAGAACTAGTCAGTGTGTCCCCTGACTCTCACCGCTGCCCTGCCTTGTGGCCCCCTCAACTAATTTCTCCACGCCTGATGGCCACAAGGCAATGTAGTTGGGGTTCCTAGAACCATGGGAAGCCAGAGGTTGACACTGTTTGTTTTCTAGCCACTGAAGGCTACGCCGTGACGTCCTTTCCTTCTGGAAGGCGGAAGAGAGGAAGGCGGCAGTCAAGGGCATGCTGTGTGGCCGGGGACCTCTGGGGATCAGTGTGGCTGCTTGCTTCCTTGGATAGCTATTTTAGCTTCCTTTGGTTGGATAAACACTCCCAGGATACCAGCCAGAAAAGCACCATGAACTGGTTGGGGGCAGCCAGTCACCACCCACGGAGACCGTGTGAATAGACTTAAAAGTGTGAGGAACAGCAAGAAAGTTTGGCCAGAAGGGGAATTGCTGTGTGACCTTGGGCAGCTCGCCTAACCTCTCAGTGCTTGGGGTTCTCCCTTCTGTGATCCAAAGATCAGGACCCATCATGGGGTTGGTACAGGCATGGCAGAGGTACTGCCCCTCCTCCAGCGACCCCAACTCCCTGGGACTCAATCCTTTGTGCACAGCCCAGCATCCCTCTGCCTGCCATTCCCATTGCTGAGAGCACCTCCCTCCAGCCTCGCAGTGAGCTCCGGGAGCACTGAGCCCCATGAGGAGAGAGCTGGAGAGCCTGCAGCCAGTGGGCCCACCCCACGGCCCTAGCTCTGTGAGTCCACCCAAAGGCTGCAGGCGGGAAGTGCTAAGGGCTGGCAAAGACCAGGTCACGTAAGCACCAGACAGTCACGATGCTGACGCACAAGGTGACACAGAGGTGCTTTATTCCCATCCACAGGCGCTGGCCGCGGGTGACTGCCAGAGCCTGACGGTCAGGGGCATTCAGCCCTGTGGACTGGGCAGATGCCAAAGGGAGTGTGCAGAGGCCTCAGGCCCATCAACACCCAGAATGTTCCTCCTTCTTCCCTCTCCTCTCTCCCTCTCTTCCCTCCCTTCCCCCCTCCTCACCTTCCTCCTGCCTTCCTCCCTCTCTCCTTTCTTCTTTCCTTGGTCTCATGTAGCCCAAGCTAGCTCAGAACTCCATGTAGAGTTGAGGATGCCCCGCATTCCTGATCCTCCCGCCTCTGCTTCCTGAGTGCCGGGATTACGGCTGGGTACTGCTGCACCCAGCTTTTACTTATTGTTTTAAGATTTCATATACTTGAATTCCTTGTCCACGAGTGTTTTGCCTGCATGTATGTATGTGAACTGCATGGGTTTGGTGCATGTGGAGGCTAGACAAGGGTGCAGAGATCTGGAACTGGAGTTACAGATGGTTGTGTGTTACCATGTGGGTTCAACCTGGGTCCTCTACAAGGTTAGCAAGTGCTCTTAACCACTGAGCTGGCTCTCCAGTCCCACACCTGGATTTTCCTTAGGTAGGTTCTGGGCATTCAAACTCAGATCTCACGCCTGCATGGCAAACACTTGACCAACTACACTAGCCTCCAAGCCCCACCAACATCTTCCCGTTCTGTCTTGATAGCCTGGTGAAATGGACTGTAAGAGAGGCAGTTAGTCTGAGCTTTGCTTTCCCTGTCTGTAACATTGGGAATCAAATAGTTTGGGTTTGGAAAGTCTCTCAAAAGCTCTTGTGTTGAAAATTTGGACCCTGACTTGGTGCAATTGGAAGGTAGTGGAACCTGGAGAAGTGGGGCCTAGACAGAGCTCTTCTGGTCCCTGGGGGTGTGCCTTTGAAGGAGGTCTGGGAGCCTTGGTCTCCTCCTCGTCCTCTGCTATGTGACTGTGAGCTGAGCCGTTGTGCTGAGATGCATGCTTCTGCCATGGGTGCTGTCTTGGCTTTGGCCTAAAGTCATGGGCTCCCTCACAGGCTAAGGCCTCTGAAAGGGTGAGCCTCAGTGAGCTTTCTCTTCCCTAGCTGATTGCGTTTGTTTTAGTCATACACAACTGGTTAGCACAGGGACAAGAAGACCTGTCCACAGACTGGGTGTGACTGAAGTGTGCAGAGAGGCAAGTGCCGGATACTTTCCTCGATTTTATGCAGATACATAAGCCGTGCATGTGCACAACACAAGAAAGCAGAAGTCAAAGTTTCAGGGTGTAAAACATTTAGGGGGACAAGGTGGACTAACAGGGGAGGGGAGGAATCATTAGTGACTTCTGCAATGACTCTTCACTGAGGGCCAGAGACAGGGGCCGGAGACGGCATGGTTGAAGCAGGTACCTCATTTCGAGGTGTGTCACGACAGAGGACAGACGTGAGCCATGGCAAGCAAGCACAGGTGGGTAGAGACCTTTCGCCAAAGCCCCTGGAGCGGCTGCGGTCTGACATACAGGACCTTGGTTGTGGTCTTGACTTCCGGGACCTAAGGGCTGCCATGGATACTGAGTCCTCTAGAGGAACAGCCTTTTAGCCACTCCCCAGCCTCATCCGGTTCATAGACTCAGCCACACAGCCAGCTCTCCTGTTGTCCCTCTTCGCTCATGACATAGATCCTGCCCGTGCCCTAAGACCACATAGCTGTCCCTCATTTCATTTAGGATTGTTTGGGGTATCTTCTGAAATGCCAGCTTGTTGACTTGCTTAGTTTGTGTCTATGTATTTTTCTTTTAAAAGGAAATCTGTGTGTGTGTGTGTGTGTGTGTGTGTGTGTGGTGTGTGTGTGTTCATATGTATGAGGGTGGCTTGGGTGTATGTTCATATTGTGAGTGTGGGTGTGTACATGCCATGGCGCCTGAATGGAGC